TATTCAATTATTTATTTAATTAGTGAAATCAGTTGGATGCACTAGATGCACATTAAAAGCTATTATAGACAAATTTATATAAACATAATTAATTATATTTTCTTATATTTCTAACCGTGTTCTATTGTTTTTTAAGTAGTTTTAATTGTTGACAGCCTTAATTAATTTTTTCACGTTTATATGATCGCCGGTGATACTATCAGTTGTCAGATTTTCACAAAATGTCATAAAATGTCAAAAAATCGCGATATCTTGTGCAATATTGTTTTTTTAGCGTATGAAAAGCCAAAAATGCGAAAATAATACTTTTCTTAGGACACTTAGATATGTATTTATATGACATTAATTTAAAAAACGACTAAAAATTCTTTTTCTCTATTATTATCTTTTTCACTTTCATTTTATTTAAAAATATTAATATAAAAATTATAATTACAGTATCTCTCTCAGTCTGACTCTTCCCCTTCGACCTGTCCGGTATGGGTGATCCTACTGGTAACTAATAGCGTTTTTGAGTAAAAAAAGTTCGATTGCTTTGAGAGCTATTAAATCAGATTTGCCATGAACATATGTTCGATCGAAAATGAGTTTTGTGTGAATTTGATTAATATAGATATAATAAATCAATAATATTAATAATATAAAATACATCCCGCTATTTTGGCTTCAAAACACAAGATTTTTTGCTCTAATTAATCAATTAAACGGTTACTCGAAATATTACGCATTAATTAATCTAATAATTTAAATACCCTTAGAATCCAAGACAGAGTTTATGAATTTTATTCATTAATTGGTCTCAAACTTACTTCACTCGAAAACACATACATTACCGCCGACATAGCTCTCAGGTTCATTAGAGTACGCAAACCTCCTCACCCGACAAATGCCTTCGTTAAGGTAGAGATACCATCGAAGAGGAAAAATGTGTGAGGACCTTTTTCCTCTTTTTCATTTCTCAGATTAGGGTAGGTTTTTTTATTTTTATTTTTGTTTTAATACACAATAAATGATATAACAAATGATATAATAAATTTAATATACAAAATATATAACAATATACAAAACATAATACAAAATATAATCAGAAATTTAATACAAAATATAATTTAAAATTTAATACAAAATAATTTATTACATGGAATTACACGAAAATGTCCAAAATATGCGTATAATAAAAAATTTACTAGAAATTTTTAGAATAAACAAGTTTTTAGCAACGATTAATTACGTGATATTTATTTTTAATAATCCACATACTATTATAGAGCTTAATAAGTTTTATAAAATGTAAATAATCGCGATCAAAAGAATCGTTAATAAAGTTATCAATCGTCTTTTAATTGTAGAAGAAAAAGAACTTGCACTATACTAGCGCATTTTGCGCAGACTTTTAAAGAAAATATTTAAGATGCGGAAAGATAGACAAAGCTTCGATGTAAATCAACGATTAAATTATAAAATAAATCGCGATTTAAAATTCGCGAGCAAACGCGACGAATAAATAAATCGACGATATTCGTAATATTCGATTGCGATACGCGTAATTTCTATAATAATCGAAACTCACACACGTACGCGCGCGCGATATAATTACTATTATTTTATGCAAAAATATTTCGACAGACATTCGAGATCTGTAATATAGTATTCAACGTCCGATTTATTTTCCAATACGCCATTTTATACAAATGTCACGATCAACAATAAGATATATTTTATCTCGCGGATGACTGTTTTAACAGAATAGAATGGGTCTTATAAACTTTAAAATATCGTTATAAAAAATCGCGTTAATACCACGTTTTATAGAAAATAACAGACCCAACGATTTTAACAAGGCCTTCCCTCCGCCGGGTGATACGCCGGTTAATATCCGACAAAGAGAAGAACGATTCTAAAGGTGGAGAACGACCAACGTCTTCTTTCTACATCAGTTTCTGCAAGATCGATCCGCAAAGAAAAGTTAAGTAATCCGTTGAACGTTAGAGCCGCTGCAAGAAGGAACGAATCCCGAATCTTCCGGACTACTCCCGATAGCAATGGTTTCGATAATGAATTAACGACAGTTACCATTTATCTTCATTTCACGAGATTGAAAATTGCGCGAGAAAACATGTTCTTCTATTATTAAGAAATATATCTCTTTTTTGAAAAATAAATTGATATAACAATTTTTTATAAAGATGTGGTTACGAACAATTATATTTATGGATAATAAAATACATGCATCGTTATTAAATTCAAATAATTTGCAAGATAAAATAAATTGACATAATTTCAAATAATTAATTCTAAGCTATTTTTTGTAGCATTTAAATAAATTAATTTGACGATATTTTTCTGATATTGGGGTACCCATTTGATTTGTCTCGAAGTTTTTAAATATCCGCACATTTTACGTTACATTTATATATATAATTTCATATTATATATATCATTTATATATCATTCATATATAATATAATATTCAAAAAAGTATAAAAATTTTTTGAAATAGTAATTTGCGCATGTATTTTATTATATATATAAAATAGTACATATATCTAAAAGTACTAATCCAGGACCGATGTCCTAGAGTGGCAGGGTGTTCAATATCTGCAA